TGATGGTGGTGATGATGGTAATGATGGAGGTGATGATGGTGATGATGATGGTAATGATGGAGGTGATGAGGGATGATGGAGGTGATGAGGGTGATGGTGGCGATGGAGGTGATGATGGTGGCGATGGAGGTGATGGTGGTGGTGGTGGAGGTGATGATGGTGGAGGTGTTGATGGTAGGGGCAGTGAAGATGGAGCAGGTGATAAAAGTGGTGGGAGATGCAGAGTTGAGGCAGTAAAATGGTTGAGGTGATAGAAGAGGTGGTAATGACGGAGACAGCATACAGGGTAGAGATGTTTTTGTGTGTGTGTTTCCGGGTGGTGATGGAGATTATGGTCAAGTGATAGAGTTGTTAGTGATACAGGCAATAGTGGTAGACCATGTAGTAAACATGGGCAGAGGTGGTGGAAGTAGTTAAAGTAATAGAGATGGTGGCAGTGACAGAAATGGTGGATGGTGGAGTTGGTTGGGGTGATGGAGATGGCGGAGGTGGTCAAGGTGATGGTGACAGTCTGGGTGAAGGGGTTGATGGGGATGGTGGGGTTGATGACAGTAATGAGAGTGGTGGAGATGATGGATTGGTTGAGTGATGGAGATGGTGGAGGTGATGGATTGCTGGAGATGGCAGTCATCAGCTTGAGGGAGGTGGTGGAGTTGGTGGTAGAGAGGGGAAGGAGATATCCATGTTTGAACATGTGTGACGCTGAGAGAGTGGATAAATCTTTTCCATATTAGATGCAAAAAGAAACAAAGTTAGTTTGTTTTTTATAGAATATGCAGTAAAGTCCCAAGAACAGAGCCTCAGCAGGACGGGGAGGAGGCTGCTGTGACTCAGCTGTCTCTAGGGTTGTTTTTGCTCTGGGGTTTGTGGGAAGGGGTCAGCGTGGGGGCAGGGAAATACCCAGATGCTTTGCTCAGCTAAGTTCAACCCAACATGGTTGGATGTGGGACCTGTGAGCACAGCCCCAAGGCCAGTGGGGGAAACCTCAGCTTGTTCAACTGAGGCAGAGGGTGGCGAGGAGAGACAGGCTGCAAGGATCAAACCTGAACTTCTTTGTTTTCGCTGATGAGGGAAAATGGATCCCAAAGCCTATGACTTCACAACCATCCTGCCCAGAGTGATGATGGTTGTGGTTACTGTTTGAGCCTTAATAAATTGCATTAATAAATGCAATTTTGCCAAGAGTCCTAGTTACCGTGTACCCATTTCACAGATGGAAACTGCAGCCCTACAGTCTTGTCAGTTCTTTTGGGGGCGGGGGGTGAGACAAGGTTTCTCTCTGCAGACCAGGCTGTCCGAGACTCAGAGATCTGCTTGCCTCTGCCTCCTGAGAGCTGGGATTAAAGGTGTGCGCCACCATACCCAGCTTCTGGACTTCCAGTCAGTTCTTAAATCCTATCCATCCATTGACTACAACTCCCGAGCTACCTTGTGAGGGCATGAGGCTGTCCCCACTTCTCTAGAGGAGCTGGGCAGGGCACCAGCGATACCTTGAAGGCAGATGCCCACAGAGGCAGGATGCTCAGCCTCCCCAGCAGACACTTTTTCTATGTTTCTCATTCCTTCCCTCTCGCTCTTCCTGTCTGAACCTCCTAGTGAGATCACCTCACCTCTGCACCAAAGGTGCCATCTTTATGCCTCTGATGTACCTGAGTAACAGTCAGGTGTGAGATCTGAGCAGGGAGAACTGGGTGCTGAAGTAACTGGGATGGACACCCCAAATACCTGTCAGGCAAGAAGGCCACGGCAGTGGTTACTAACGCCGATGGCTCCCTGCTCACCCGTCCACATCCTACATCCTTCTCAGGGCAGCAAAACAGGCTAGCTGTAGCTCTTCCCACTGTGCGGATGAGAAAACTGGAGGCAGAGAGGTCAGGTTGCACCCAGAACGCGGAGCTGGGATGGAGCTGGGTCTAAGTCAGTGTAGCTCCCAGGCTTGTGCCCACCGCTTGCCTTCTGCCTTCTCCATTCAAGACACCTTAGCAGAGGCAGAGCCAGAATCCTAGGCTCACCCTCCCTTTCACTCTCTGGCTTCCTGATTGCACCCCCAGCCAGGCCCTGGGGCAAGCTACAGATACTCCATGCCCACCAGAGCTCCAGAGTAACTGAGGCAGCAGATGCTCTCTGATACAGCACTAATGTGAACATACGACCCCATGCCCCACAAGAGAAGGTCATCAGACCCCACGGTACTGTGATGGCTCCCTGGGCTTCTGAGTTCAATCTTCCTCACTGGACCCTTCAAGGTCCCAGGACCCTCCTTCCCCCCGCCGATGCCCCTCCCTATCCCTATCCATAGTATCAAGCCATCTTCATTTTTTTTATCTTTGGACAACCTGAGGCTCCCAATTCCCCTGCACAGGACCAGGTTAATGGCAGCCTGGATTCTAAGTGCTGAAATCCAGCTGCCTAAGCTACCGCCTGCAGCCCACACACGATGCCAAGCTGCCCAAAGGCAAGGTGGGGCCATTCTCCACAGATAAGCGTGCACTCAGCCTTTCCACACACTGGAGAATACCTGGCATCAAGCTTCCCAGACAGGCAATGGAACCCTGTGGCGACCCCAGGCCACGTACTCAGTTTCACTCAGTATAAAAAAAAAAAACATAATAGCTAATATTTGCTAAGTACTTGCTTTGTGTGCGCAGGAAATGCGGGGTATAGATTAATTTATGCAGGCCTTTCAGTGACCCCTCCAAAGGAAGGCACTGTCAGAACCTTATGTAACCGGGGAGTCGATCACAGCACAGAGGCCGAGGCACATAGCTGTTAAGTGGGGGAGTTTGGACCCTGATTCTGGTGCTGTCCCTTCCTCATTCAGTGCTCAGTAAAATACTATGGTCATGTAAGTGCTAGAATACAAATGATGTTTAATAAATGCTTGCAGAGGAGAAGGAACTGGGATACACAAACGGCAATCCTAACACTCTGGGAGCAGAAAAGAGCACTTACTGAGCACCTTCTGAATACTAGGACGGCTTGGGGGTGGAGGTAGAGGTCACTATGGGAGCCCAGCAGGGGACACAGGGGCTGGCCTGGGCTTTGCTTCCTGTCCCCATTGAGAGGAGGTGACAATCAACTTCATTTCCTGCCAAGACAGAGGCCTTTCCCTAAGGTCTCCACTGCTAGCCTCCTCTGTTCCCCAGTCCTATGGCAGGGTCCCCTTGGGCTTCCGGTTTTCCATGAGATATGCCTTTTGTCACCAGAGATAAAGGTACCTATGAAACAGAAATTCCTCTGGTCCTACAGCCTCTAATTCAGTGGTTCTCAACCTTTTGTGGGGGTTGCGACCCTTTTGTGGGGGTCAAGGGGTTGCATATCAGATATTTATATTATTATTCATAACAGTAGCAAAATTACAGGTACGAAGTAGCAATGTAAATACCTTTATGGTTGGGGGTCACCATGATGAGTTGCAATAAAGGGTCGCAACATTAGAGAGATTGAGACCCACTGCATTAACTGCTGCTCCTCAGGCCAGACTGCAGGCTGTGGCATCATCAACCTTCCTGACTCTAGAAAGGACACATGCAAGCCAGATACCTACCAGCAGGGATGGAGTGTTTGCAAGGCCCTCCCTTCCTTCTGGTGCCGCAGATGGGGGTGGGGGCACCAGCAGCTTCAGAGAGGATCAGGAGACTTGGGGTCCTCCAGCCCCCACAGCCACAGGCCCTGTGGTCCTGGGACAAGCCACTTTGCCTCTCCAGCCTCAGTGTTCTCCTCTGTACAATGGAACAATGAGGGAACCAGTAGATGAGCGTAGCACTTTCTCCCTTCTCTACCAGGTTCTGGATTGCTCAAGTGTGCTCAGCTTGGGCTACAGCCAGGGGGCTGGAGTGACAGAAGCATCAGACTGGACTCTCGGCATCGCATGGCATTTCCTACGAGGCAGAGTGAGGTAACCGGTCCAGGTAGGTGCCCCGGCTGGAGCCAGCACCTTGGAGATGGGAGCAGAAGACAGGCAGGCCTAGTGAGGAGTGGGCTGGAGCCACAGCAGGAGCCATACACCAAGAAAGAACCCCAAAGACTGTGACAGCTTCCCATCCTGCAAGTGATGGGGAGCCCGGAGTGCTGGCAGGGAGGGAGTGACATGGCCAGACTTAGGGAGAAAACTGGGAGGTGTTGGTGTGGCCAGCAAGGGGCATGCCTGGAAGAGGAGTGACCCCCATGAGGTGGAAGCAGGGGTGCCACGGAACTGTTAGACCTGAACTCTCAAAGTCCTGCCTTACAGCTATAGGGGCTCAAATACCAGCTGGGAAGGCTGGGTGGGGGAGGGAGGCTTTGATTTCTTGCAAAGCAAAGGAGGGCTACCAAACAGGGTTGGCATGGGAATGGAGCCTCTTAGCTGGACTATCTAGTGTGCGGATGAGATGCACTGGGGCCCAAGGGGCGGGCAGGGGCCTCAGCATTTGCCCAGTAGGCCCTCTACTTGATCTCCAGGGCAAGGTGGAGCTCTGGGTAGGAGGGGGTTGGGGGCTGGGCAAGGTCCAGCTTGGCGTTTTTTATCACTGGGTGGGATTTTTATCACTGGGTGGGATTCAAGGTCTGTGGAGGAAGTGGCCACCCACTTCCGGCCAGGCATTTTTTTTTCTTT